TCATTTAGGACTGTGACTGATATATGAAAGTAGGATAATTTCTGAGTCAGCTGAACGTGTAGGTGACATGTCAGAAATTGAACTTCTCTGAATTAAATGGTAAAATCTTCTATCATAACGTTTGTCAAGGTTAAAAGCAAACAAAAAAGAGTCAAGGGTGTGACTCCATACATTGCATGTCCTATTCTTTCTTCCATCGTTTTCATCCATCCACTATTCAATTCTTATTCATTTCTGTGCATGTGCTTTTCTCTATTTTTCACTTAAAGCTGAGCCAAATTTTCTTTACTGTGTACGAAGAAAAGCCCAGACAACACTAATAGGTGTTAGGGTGTCCAGTGAGGCACAAAAACAGGAAACGTTTTGTACCAGATGGTTGCAAGAGGCAATCTTAACTGAGATGCAGAGAGTGTGTTCATGGATGATGGATCACATTTTATCCTAAGATACATAAAAGAAGCATTCTTCCTTTTACTAATCTGTTGTTTGTGTCTGTGTTGGCAGCAAAATAGCACAAGTCAGTTGAGATTCAATAAGGACACTGTTTCTTCTTTACTAAGAAAGATCTCTTGATGCTTGAGAATACTGAATATCTACTCTCTAGCAACATAAATATGATAAATTCTATTTATCTTGTGCAGGTGTTGAATATTCAAAGTCAAATGGTTTTGCTATAACTCCAATTTCTTCTTTTACCACAGAATGGCTTGGGTTGGAAGGGGCTTTTAAGGTCATTTAGTTCCAACCCCCTTCCATGGGCAAGGCTGCCCCTCAGCAGCTCAGGCTGCCCAGGTCCCCATCCAACCTAGCCTTGAACGCCTTCAGGGATGGGGCACCCACAGCTTCTCTGGGCAGCCTGTGTCCATGCTCGGCACTCTGAGTATAGAATTTCTTCCTAATGTCAAATCTAAATCTCTCCTGTTTTTAGTTTAAAACCATTTCCTCTTGTCCTTACACTATCTGCCTGTGTAAAAAGTCGTTCCCCTTTCCGATTATAAGCTCCCATCAAGTATCAGAAGGCTGCAATGAAGTGTTTTCAGAGCCGTCTCTTTTCCAAGCTGAGCAACCCCAACGTGTTCAACCTTTATTCATAGGAGATGTGCCACAGCCCTCTGATCACCCTAGTGGTCCTCCTCTGGAGCCCTGCTCCAGCAGCTCCGTAAGTTTCTCATGCTGGGGGCCCCAGACCTGGACACAGTACTCCAGATGAAGCCTCACAGGGAAAGAAACAGATGGGGACAATTCCTCCCTGCTCTCCCCCCCATCCCTGTTGGCCACCCTTCTTCTGATGCAACCCAGGATATGACTTGCTTGGGCTGCAAGAGCACGCTGCTGGTTAATGGCCACATTTGTCTACCAAGACCCCCAGTCCCTCACAGGGAGGGGAGAAACTGCCCTAGCCCAGATCTTGCACTTGACCTTGTTAAGCCTTATTATCTTCCTATGGGTCCTCTTTTGAAAGTTATCCAGGTACCTTTGAGTGGCATCCCTACCTTCTGTCATATCAGCTGTACCACTCAGCTTGATGTTGTCTGCAAAAATGTTAAGGGTGCTCTTGATCCCACTATGTCATCAACAAATATTTAAATGGTACCAGTTCCAAGATCACAACCCAAAGGACACCACTCCTCATTTGTCTCCACCTGGACATTCAGCTATTGACCACAACCGTGTGGCAACAGTCATCTAGTTAGTTCCTTATTCACTCTATGGTCCACTCTTAAAATACATATCTCTCAAACTTAGAGAAAAGGATGCCATATGGAACCACATCAAAGACCTTAATTTTTTGTGGGTCTATGTCAAAGGTTTTTTTGTGAATTTTAATTCTTTTTCTCTGTTGTATTTTAATTAATGTTATAAAACTTTTCTTAGGGACTCTGCTCTGTTTTACCATGTAATGTGTTCCCCTCTTCTTGGATCTTAAAACTTATGTGGCTGTAAAATGTGGTAAACTAGCACTGAGAGAATTGCATCTGTATTCAGGATATTGTAATGATATCTAATCATTAAAGGATCCTTATTTTCAGCATATTGAAAGTTCTTGGGCAACAGCACTTTTCAAGTCTTAGATATAGCATATCCATCTCTAACATTTTCTTGGTTTCATAGCATGGTTGGTGCATTTGATTTTGAACTAATTAATATAATTCTCAATTTATAAAAAGTTTTTTCTATGTTTTCGTACCTTAGCTTGTTGGTGTCTATAGAGAAATACCTTAAAGCTTTGCTGTTCAAAAACAAAAGAGTTTTTAATTAATAATGATCTCTAAATTTGTCATCTCCATTGTTATATAAGGCAATCTGAGGAAGTATAATTGTCTTCTTCCTAGATCACTGTATCTTAGAAATGTTTGTTGATTATCCCATTAACACATATCTACTATCTTCTCTATGCCTTTCTTTTCAGTTGATTCTTGTCCAAATAGCACATTTTCAGTCATTTTTGTCGTTGTTAATTGCTTCCTGAGCAATCATTGTTGATGTTCCAATTTTCTGAAACATTTATTTGACTGGAGTTACAGGTGCATTGAATATCATATGTCCTTGATACTGGGCTTTTCTGATACACCCTGCAGTTAAAGTAATGAATATAAATGTAAAAGAGAAATAAGTAGCTCATTATATATCACAGCTTTTTCAGTCTCAGCTCTTGCATTTCATGTCATTTGGCCATTTCTGCTGCTCAGGGGAAAAGACAATCTTTTCAGCTTACTCCTGAAGTCAGTGACCTGAGGTTGTTCCAGAGAAGGAGGGGTGATGAGCCCAGAACTGGAGCTGCCCAAGTGACAAACACTGTTCACAGTTTTCCCCAAATTCAGGAGGAGTTGCAGCTGTAGTTGGAGGATATTTTAGATGCCAGAAAATGGCTTTGGCGGGGTAACTTTCCATGTACACCTCCAAGGCGCGATTGTATCTCCTGGAAGCCTGGTGTCATTTTCACAGCCTAAAAATTTCCCTCAGTGTATGTCTCTTTGCATTATCTTCATCATTCAATTCAATTTATTTTGTTGCAGATTTATTGTGTTGAAATCTGCTTACCCTTAAAATGAAGTACCAGGTGCTTACTGTACCTTCAGTATATAACTTCTATCTTGCCTGAACTTTTGCTAAAACATTCATTTTGAATTTTTGCTACCAATTTCATATCCTGGTATATTCGCATTTGAACATGAGTGATTGAACTTATCTGTAACAGTACAGTAAAGGGGAGTGCCAGATAAAGTTTGAATTGCCCTCATTTTGAGTTTTCTGCCTCTGTGGGGTTTGCTAAATAGTAGGTTTTTAACAAACCATTAAGAATAAATGTAGATGTACATTAGCTTCCTTTGCTCAGGGGTTCATTTGTATCTGGCAAATCTCTAGATGTTGCCTGCACGTTGTCCGCAGGAAAGAAAAAACATAAATCTGATATATGTTTGACTGTTTTTGCAGACCTTTTGCAGACCTTTAAAACCTCTTTAATGTTATGCTATGTATTACATCCATTCACTTACTAAAATCTACTTTAATTGATGGAAGGGAAGGTAAACTTCTTGGGAGTAGATTTTTGTATTCTCACTTTACTTACTGTAAATCTCCATGCATTAGTAATGAAGAAAAGTAGATCTATTGCCCACTAAGCTGATAGGGAACAAACCAACACTTTGTGAACCCTCAAACAATATTGGTAGATAAATAAACAGTCCAGTGGTAACTTGAAGGGAAAAAAGAATATATGAAGATGTATGTGTTTTTGAGCAGCTTGACTTTCCTTTTTCTTCTCCAGTGGCTGTGTCTACTGGGTGAATCTGTCTGCTTAGGAGCTAGATTTCTCCATCCTCACAACAAAGAACAACTGAATAATCAGAAGGCCATCTTCATCTGTCATTGTTTCATTTTTGAAGAAGTCATTGTATACCTATGCTTTTTTTTAAAAAAAAAAAAAAGTGTAACACATTTCAAAATATTTTCATCTCTTCTCACAATTGTAGGCAATTCAATTCTTGAAGGATTCCCAGTTGTGCAGTGTCTTAGCAGCGGCCCTGCTTGAGTTTAATGTCAAAAGTCTAGTAGAAGGAAAACAATGTAACAGGAAAGAACAAAACAAAAGACTTACATATTAGATAAGGTGGGTGGGTTGAAAGAGAGTGAATTGGCTAGATTTAGACCCTATTCTTTTGAAAAGCAAACTGAATTTTAGAAATATTTCTCTCTGCATTTTTCATGAGCACAACTAATCAGAGTCTTTTTTAATTGCAGTGGAAAGTTATGGTGAACTATTAAATAGGTGTACTAATTTAAAAAAGAAAAAGAAATTTGTCTGCATGGAACATTGCATAATTTTACGAAAGAAATAAGCATGGCTTGTAAGTAGCCAGTTTCAATTTTGCCCACTGAAAACTGTAGACTAAAAGTGTAGTCTTCCCAAAACTAGTTCAGCTTTACCATTCTCTTTTAGAAAGCTAAGACAAAAAAAAGTCTACTTAAAGGATAGAGAGTATTTGTACTGTGAACATTTGCAGCAGTTTTGATAAAACTTCAGAATCATCTCACTCTTTTATTTAATCTTCCTATGCATTCTACTACTAATTTTGTAGTTTCACGCGGCTTTAATTCTAGTGAGAGTTAGATAAAAAGTTGTATCCTAAAGGGGTTTTGTTTATATTTCTTGCTTTGATTTTTTTTCTTTTTTTTTTCTTTTTTTTTTTTTTTCCTATAGTTTACAGGGTTGCTGCTTAACTTCCTGGGGGATGGCAGTGGTTAGGTTTCCTTTTTACTTAATTTTTAATTACCACTGGGGAAATTGGCATCTGAAAAGTCAGAATAGTTTTTGTTTTGTATGTGATCATCTGTTCCTGCTGTTTATGCTTCACCTGGATACCTAATCCTTTTAGCAATGCAGAAGATTTTGAAGCAACAGACAAGAGATTAAAGTTCCAGGTGAGGGATAAGCAGCTGATCAAATGAATGAAGAAGAAAAAGGGATTGTTTCAATGCAAATATCCCCCACTAATTAGTGCCAGGGTGAAGAACTATGAAGAAATTCTCCTGCAGAAGCTGGCAGCCCATGGCTTGGACAGGTACACTCTTGGCTGGGTAAGGAAATGGCTGGAGGGCTGGGCCCAGAAAGTGGTGGTGAATGGAGCTAAATCCAGCTGGTGACTGGTCACAAGTGGTGTTTCCCCGGGGTCGGTTCTGGGACCTTTCCTCTTCAATATCTTTATTGATGACCTGGATGAGGGCATTGAATGCACCTTCAGTAAGTCTGCTGATGACACCAAGTTGGCTGGAAGTGTTGATCTGCTTGGGGGTAGTGAGGCCATACAGAGGGATCTGGACAGGCTGAGAGCTGGGCTGATGTCAGTGGAGTGAAGTTTAGCAAGGCCAAATACCAGATCCTGCACTTTGGTCACAACAACCCCAAGCAATGCTACAGGCTAGGGACAAAGTGGCTGGAAGACTGTGTAGAGGAAATGGACCTGGGGCTTGTAAGAGATTATTCTTTTACATCATTGTCTCAAAGCTTGCTGAGGACACAGATGAACAAGTTCAAGCAAGTCCTGGACAAGGGTTGAGAAATCCTTTGTCTGGAGAACTTTGATGGACAAGTCCTGAGCAAAGGTTGCAAACCCTTTGTCTGAGGGACACAGATGGACAAGGCCAGGGCAACGAGAGAGAGATAAGACGCAGATTAATGGCTGTGGAGCAGTCTTTTGTGTGGACTTATCTCAAGGAAGATGGTCATCTCAGGGAGTACTCATATGACTCTTGCTCAAGCACCCAAGGATGTCACATAGGCAGAAAACGAAGAAGGATAAAATGGGGACCTAAAATCATGAGGTTAAGGTTTTTCTAGCAACAGATTTCTTCCTCATAAAGAAGAATGGAGGTTTTCTGACAACAGATTCCTCATGAAGGAGAAGAGGTTTCTGACATGAGAAGACTCACAACTTGCCTCTCTCCCTCCTGTACTTGCTCTGCACTCTACCAGCATGCTGAAGAAGAACAAAGGTGTCTGCTATCAGATTTCTCACTATGGAATTCCTGCATGCTGTCAGACTCTCCTGGGCCTGCTACCTGAGTCCTGCTGCTTCCTTCCTTCCAGATTGGCTCTGCGACTTCTTCGTGCTACCTGCTTGCTTGCCCAAGGCCAGCCACACTGCTGCTCTTCCCCCCTGCTGCTTCTGCCTCAAACCTTCAAACATCATGCAACGGGATGCTGCTGGATCCTGGTAGTGACTCTCCCCCGCTCTACACGATTCTTACTTTCTCCTGTCTTTTATATTGCCCTCCTTCCCATCCCTGATTGGGATTTATAATAGGCTGGTTGGATCAACATTTGAACCATTGTTTCTTGATCTCGTGCCGGGTATACAGATGTTAAAAGAACCTCCTCTCCCTCCTATAAATTGGAGTGAGGCAGGGGTACTGATTGATACTCAGCTGAAAATGAGCCAGTAGTGTGCTGCCCAGGTGGCCAAGAGGGCCAATAGCATCCCGGCTTGCATCAGACAAAAGTGGTGCCAGCAGGAACTGGGAAGTAATTGTCTGTGCTCTGTAGCCCCTCACTGCAAGAAAGACATTGATGCCCTGGAGCAGGTTCAAAGAAGGGCAACAGAGCTGGTGAGGGATCTAGAGCACAGGCCTTATGAGAAGCAGCTGAAGGAGCTGGGATTGTTCAGTCTGGAGAAGAGGAGGCTTAGGAGAAACCTTACTGCTCTCCATAAGCTACCTGAAGGGAGGTTGTAGTGAGCTGGAGGTTGGTGTCTTCTCTTGTGTAACTGGTGATAGGACTAGAGGGAATGGCTTCAAGCTGCACCAGGGGAGATTCAGGCTGGATGTTAGGAAATAATTTTCTGAAAGAGTGGTCAGGCACTGGATTGGGCTGCCCAGGACGGTGGTGGAGTCACTGACTCTGGAGGTGTTCAAGGAACGTTTGGACATTGTGCTGAGAGATATGGTTTAGTCTGAGCTATTGGTGGACGGTTGGGCTGGATGATCCTGTGGGTCTTTTCCAACCTCGGTGATTCTCTGGTTCTATGAAATGTTGGTAGGAGTCTCTGTCTCTGAATTTATTTTTTTCAGTGGGAATGCCTTAAAGATTTCAGAAATAGTTAACACCATTGTTAATATACAATTCTGTGAGAGATGTGCATAGCTGTACAGTTCATACCACGCTCCTATTCCATGCTTTGTTGATATTTTTCCTCTCACTTGTTATATTTATACGTATTCTAATCTTCACTTGTACAGGAATTTCACAGGGTCATGAGCTAAGTATCAGGAGGACATACATCTGCCAAGTCAGTGTCTTCCATTGTTTTGCTTGCAGTGCTAGTAATCATCAGTTTGTTTTAGTTAGTATTGCAAATGTTCCTAGTGGTATTTCTTTTAGTACATGTTAAGTGAGGTTACAACATGATAATAAAAAAAAAAAAGCTCCTTACTGCTGTGTCATCCTTCTCTGACACAAAATTTTAGGACTCCCCAAGAGCAGCCAGTACTTCAGTATGATTAATGTTTTACTGTTACTGTATTCTGTGCTCTGATTGTTCACAAAATGGCCTTCATATCTGGTTTTAAAAAACAAAAAACCAACCAAACAAAAAAACCCACTAAGAACAGTGATAAGCTAAATAGTCATAGGATTACTCCTTTTTTTCCCAATCCTATCCATCTGAGTAACACACCAGAACAGAGGCAGTTTTCTACTGACATTTCCAGGGAGATATAGGTGCTACTGTAATTCAAACATATGCATTTTTTCACACAGATTTAGTCACTTGTCTTTCCTTCCCATTCTCTCCACAAAAAGTTATGACCATGGTTGGAAACTGCTGGATTTTACTTATTCTGATGTACAGATATATTGTCATAACACAGGGCAGTGCCTGGCCCTCTGCAAAGCAGTCACCTAACATTTTGTTCCTAACTGGAAGTTTCTGTTTTTCCTGTTCTCCAAATAATAATAATAATGGAAATGGAGAAGGGCTTATTTACACATCGGTGCAAATTCTGAATGGCAGATAATGAGACTGATCTGTCTCCTACTGCTTACCTGGTGCAGCTGGGAAGAAAACCCAATTATCCTTTTCTGACTACATGCCCTGAACCACACTGCTGTCTTGGTACCAGAAGAACATATCTGTGTTTTTCATTTTTCTTCTAAATAAATAAATAAAAGCAATACAAGAAATCATTGTTCCAAGTCAGTAGTAGGCAAGGTAAGTACCTTGCAAAAGGGATGATTTATTTTGTGAGCTGCGCTGCAAACTCCGTAAACCTCGTAAATTGCTTTGCAATGTGTAAGTACAAGAATTGATTAAAGGAAGGTAATTAAAATCTCTTTCACAAAACTGGCAAAAAACTTCTTTACCTGTGGAATCATTTCTTTGGAAAATGAATTACTTATTCCCAAAAGCACTTGAAATTAAGACAAAGGTTTGCTGAATATTTTCATAGCCTGTTTTAAGAAGGGCACACTGTTGATTTACTTGTGACGGGCATGCTATTTTACAGTCCTGTTCAAGCTAACAATAAAATTTGTCATGTTCTGCAGAAAACAAAGAAAAGATATTTGCCTTTATGGAGGATTTAAAGTTTTGCCACATAGCTAAGCACAGTTTGTGAAAGTGTAAAAATGGGAACTCCATATATTAAGTACACAATGCTATATCAGAGGAAATAACAATTTGTGATGTAATTAGGTGGCTTGTATGAGCTAATATATTCACCCCTGGAAAAATATGTGAATGCTAATACTTGAGTCAGTATTTCAATCTGAGAGTTGCTCTATTCATAGGCAAATTCATTAACAACTGTATCTGTATATGTGTAATTAATTGACTGTTGCATAATACTGGCCTTTGTTCAGCTTTTGAAGTCAGACAGTATTTATAGCAAATAAGTTCTGCTGGGGACTTTTAAGTTGTAATTAATATTTCTTATGTCTCATCATTTAAAGGCCTTGTCCCATCAATACTTTGCCTCAGTTTATTGTGTGGAAGTCTTGCAATAATTAAAAGGAAAATGGTGGAAAATATATTCCACATCACAGAGACATTAATGAGGAGCAGTTAGTTCTTGTATGATTAGCAGGAAAGAACTCAAGTGTTTCTTTAAAAATAAATGTTATGCTTCTTTTGAAATATGTGCTTGACTTTAAAACACAGAGCCTTAAATGAAATTTACATTCGCCACATTTGATTACAAAAGATGGAAGGATACAGCAATGATATGTAGGCTTTAGATAGCAGTTGGAGACAAGCAGCAGCTCTCAAGATGTTTCTCAGGTGGGAAGGCAAAGGCATGAAGCAAAGAAGTGACTTTTCCTAGGTCACAGCTGATGGCAATGTTTCAAATAAATGACCAAAACCCAAGAACTTTTACTGAACAAATAAGCAGTTGTGCTTTGATCACTGATGCTGACTTCTGGTATCTTTCTCTCTCTCCCATGTTAAGCATATGTGAGCCCAACTGTTTCTTATTGCTTTAGCTGGCATAATGGCATGTCTGGTCATGACCTCTGCTAGTTAAAAAAATGTTTAAGATTGGGGAAGAGCACCTTTACTGAGATAACTGCAGCATACCTGGTGCTACTGTGCTTTTTCAACCAGTTTGACTCAGGCTTCAGAGTTGTGCATTAGCAAGGAAAGCTTTTTCCAACCCGTGGAGTGATGCTTAGGTTGGACTGTGCAGACAGCTGCCCTAGTGCCCCTGATTCCTCTGAAAAGGAGATGCTGCAACATATCCTTGTGCTCATCTCCACCTCTGCCTGGAGATGGACAATCCTTTCTTAATTATATTTATGTGAAAGAAGTCTCTGATGTCTGATTAATCTAAGGTGTCTTTGTATATTTGATGTTGGGAGAAAATGATCAAATTTCAAGAGCTCAAGAAGACTTAATTATTCTTATTTGGTAATGTCTTCCTATGAAATAGTAGTTTGCTGGCAGTATTGAACAGATCATCGATAATTTCATGAATCACTTTTTGTCCTTCCATGCATCACATTCTGAGAGCACTGATAATCCTAAATTTGGGCTTTGATTTGGGCTTTGTTTACAAGCTCCTAGGGGTTGTTTCATTTGTGGTACTACAATAAGCTATTCCTCCCACAGGCAGATGAGAGCCAAAGGCAGAGTTCTGTGTGAGAATTTTCGAGAGGATGTCCACCTTGCAGTGGTCTTTCAGAGGCTGAAGTATCTGCTGATGAAAGATGAGTGCCAGCACGGCTATTTTTCCCCCACAGAGTTTTGAACCTTTAATGCTCATAAATGGTTTCAGATATTTAATACTTCTAACTTTGGTTAAGAGCCAGTAATGCTACAGGCATGCAGTCATAGAAACAGATGTATGATTCATTCACCATTTTCTTTTTATTTTGCCTACTTTAAGAGCATGATCATATCCTATGAGCCCCTGACAAACAGAAGATTCTAAAAATGTTACCAGTACGTGCTTCCATTCATGCTGTCCCCTGGGTTGTTACTAGAGGAAGAGTAGTGTGAGATGGCTGAGGAATTAACCACCCTTAGCTGCAGAGTGTGAATAACCTCAGTGCAAATCACCATCTGATGCCATTTACTCTGCGCTGCAAAATGCGGGCAGGTTGGTTCACGGACAGCTTGGTGATCGTCTGTTACATCTTTGATGTGATGGCAGGGAAAAAATTCAGCATTCAGAACTGTCCAAAACTGTACACATAAACTCCCTACTGTTTTCTGTATTGAATCATTCTGCATTACTTTTATCTCCTTACTGCCCTTTTTCTTACAGAATCACTGTGCTTCTTTGAGGAACAGAGTCTGAGGTTACAACTGCTGCTGGAATGGTGGACCACAGGCAGAATATACTGTGAGCTTTCTGTCCAGCAGCATTTAGTATCTGGAGGAAGCAGGCACTGCTGTTATTTGCTGTTGCTGGCTGTCATGCTGCATGTAAGTCTGGCACCTCAGAGCAATTGCTTTGGATTAGAGATGGAATTCAGCATACAAAGGAAAAATGGTACTCCTATATAAATAACTGAGAGTCTCACAATGGCCCTTTGAACCACCTCGTTTGTTCTAGTCACTGCCTGTGAGTAGCATGAGTTTATCTAGTACATGCAGCCATTGAAAGTAAAGTAAAAAAAAGAACAAAAAAAAAAAAACAAACCAAAAAAAAGAAAACCTGTTACATTCAAGGTTGTGCAGATCTATTCTATGGGCTAGTTGCCTGTGTCCAAATTATATAAGAACATTTGTTTATCTATGTAGTTATCTGTTCATCTTTGTGCTTCCTCCAGTAGCCAGAAATCGCACCCCTCTCTTTGTAAGGGTAACCATGTGATTGCACAGCTCTTCCGTACTTCTACAGCATGATTTATTTTTATTTTGCTTCTTTAAGTGGCCTATTGCACACTGAGAAGCTTAAGCTTCCATTATCTTTGAACAGCAGCAGTTATTTATATAAATGAAATCATTGTATTTGCGTTATTGGCAGTGTAGAGGGTAGGAAATCAAATGGCTTAGTTTGCTGGAGTATTCTGGCATTCACATCCAGCATTATGGGTCCTGCATTAATCATTAGCTTTTAGAAGCTAGTACTATCAATATTTATTCTGGATCTTAAATATCTCAGTTTTCCTCAAGAAATACAAGATAAAGACAACAGGAGGATTTGAATGTTCTGATGTATTTTGTTTGTTTGTTTGTTTTAAAGAAGCAGCAAGCTGACAGCTGAATTGTGTAGCTCATAACTTGTAGTTAATTAGTAGAATTCCCTCAGCTGTTTGCATCAGCTGATGGTGAAAGAGTCACAATGTACTGGTAAAGGGCATTTGTTCCTATAAAAGAGACAAAAATTATATGTTTATTGTGCATCCAATTTTTCCTTTTAGAAGAATAGGAGAGGTCACCAAAATAATTGTTACTTTCCCCCTATCTGTATATAAATATTTTTACACTAGACATGAAGCCTTTCTCCACTAAATAAATAACATATGGAGACTTATGCATGTACTTCTGTTCTATGTTACCAAAACTATTGAGCTTGAGACTTTTCTTCTGTGCACGTTACCTTTTATCTGATAAACTATTAATGAAATAAAGCACCCTTAACAAACCATGGATGTCATATAACTTATTTTGCAGGAAAAACATAATTCTAATTTTATATTGTATTTCTGTATTGTCTTTTCCTGAAGGTATGTGTGAATCTATAACCTCTTCCTTGTGAATCCTCTCTGCTACAAGTATATTCAGACATCCAGTCCTGCCTTGTTATACTTGCAAGAGATAAGAGTCACTAAATCGGTATTTTACATAGTCTCAGAGATGAGGAAGAAAGGAGGAAAAAAAAAGAAAAGAAAAAGAAATTATGAACAACATGTTTCTTTAGATTTTTTCCATTTTATATTTTTAGAAGGCTTTCTTTAAGTTTTATTTTATTTTTCCTGATGCAGAATAAACATATTCAAGTCTATGTTCCATTAACTATTTTCACCTCAATTGTCCACAGTTTCCTCAGCCAGATCTCTTTCTCTTTAATGTATTCCATGGTTGATTTCAGATCAGAAGTGACATTTCTGAGAGTAAATAAAATTTAGTCAGTCAACTTTTGGATTTCTCCATACGTTTTAAATCCGGAGAGATGTCAAGATGTCACTTAATGGATGACTTGGTACCCAATTTTTAGATCTTAAGAAAAAGCAAATGAGATTTGAATTTCATAGCTTCAAAGTTTTGAACGCATTTGATTTTCACTTGTTTTTTTTGTTACTTAATGCAAACTCGCTGCTATTTTTTCATATTGTGAAATGAATCTTTAAGTGGGCTAGAAGAATATTTTTCATACCTGATTTTTAATCTAGACCTTTCTCTTCAACTGAGATCAATCATATTCTAAATAAACCTAAATTGCAGTGCTGACTATAATAAAAGTCTAGTTGATGAAGTTATAGATCTTTAAACAATCAGCTGACTCTTAGTCTGATTTCAGGGAAAGAAGCACTGAAGCTGCCTGTGCCTCACTTTGTTAATATGTATTTTAAAAAAAAGAGTTTGCATTTGAGTTCATGTTTGGAAAGCACTTCTTGTTGTTTCATACCAACAGCCTCTGAGCAACCTGTTTCAGCACCTCATCATCCTAGTAGAGATACTACTGATGTGTAGTCCTCCTCTCCTTTAGCTTAAAGACATTTCTGCTTGTTCTATGACTATCTACCCATGTTAAAAAGTTGATTTTCCTCCTGTTTATAATCTCCCTTTAAATAGTGGAAGGCCACCATGAGGTTTCCCTGCCACGTTCTCTTCTCCAGGCTAAACAAGCCCAGTTCTTCAGCATGTCTTCATAGGAGAGGTGTTTTAGCTCTCTCATCCTCTCTTTGACACTCCTCTGTCCTCTCTCCAAAAGCTCAACATTCTTCCTGTGTTGAGTGCCCAAGACTGGATGCAATAGTCCAGGTGGGGCCTCACAAGGAGGAGAGAGAGGAAACCACCTCCCTTGGCCTGCTGGTCCACACCTCTTCTGAGGCAGCCCAGGATACCATTGACCTCCCAGCCTGCAGTTGTGTTAAGTTTTTCTTCTACCAGGACTCTTAAGTCCTTCTCAGGAGGGCTGCTTGCAAGGAGTTCTTCTCCCAGCCTGTGTACATTCCTGGAATTACCTTGACCTAAGCATAAAATTTTGCACTTTGCTGAACCTCGGTGTATTCACATGGGCCACCTTTTGAGTTTATAGAGGTCCCTCTGGATGCCATCCCTTCTTTCTGTTGAATAAATTGCACCACTCAACTTGATGTCATCAGCAAAGTTGCCTGCACCCGCTCCATCTGTCACTGATAAAGCTATTAAAGAGTACCAGTCCCAAGACAGATCCCTGGGGGACACCAGTTGTTACCAGCCTTCACTTGGATGTAGAGCTGTTGATCACAACCCTCTGGCTGCAATCTTCCAACCAATTCCTTATCCACTGAATATTCCATCGTTCAAATCCAATTTAGAGATAAGGATGTGGTGGAGGACTTTGTCAAAGGCTTTGCAGAAGTCCAGGTAGATTACATCATTTGCCACATACCCAGCACTGTTTGTGACTCAGATCTGTCAGCAGCAAGTCCCTGTTGGAGCAGCTAAAGCTATATTCCTCTGACATTGGAGCAGCGCTGGTCATTGCTCACAGAGATCATCCCTGCAGCTCCCCAGCTGCAAAAACCTTGCCACATAAGCCCAATATCACTTCAGACAACACTAAGCATTCATATATAAATATATATATGCATGTGTGCATGTATAGTAATGTGTAAATACATGCTTGTGTATGTATGTACATGTCTACATAGCAAATGTATGAATGTTTTTAAGCAACTTTTTTTCCAGAATTTTTTTTTTTTTTTTTTTACTATATCGATACACGTGCATTTTTTTTAAATGCAACTACATTTAGAGTCAACAGCTCCTTTTCTAATGTGTTAGTTGGCCTCAGGTTCCAACATGTTGATTGGCAGTTGCACACTATGCATCCAGATTGATTCACAGATTTGACTAAGGGAAATGGGTCTCAGTTTCCAGAAATGAGCCATGAAGGTATCTGAAAATGAAATAACTGTACCTGATTTTAGCTTTGATAAGATATTTTGCTGTTGTGTAGGCATAGGTTAGAAGTTTCTCATAATAAGCTAGAAGTAGTGAAGAGAATCGAGTACTTTCAATAGCATTAAGTCCCTCAGCAGTAATCCTTTAAGCACCTTCCTAAGCAGATTGGGAAGTTGATCTAACCTTTGCTGTCAGTATCTGTCACCCAACCCCGCAGTTTGGAAATGCATTAGCGGGAACACGTTGCAGACTCAATTATTTGAATTCCTGCAGCATGTGGTGTCTCATTCTAGTTTTGTAGTTGTATGCTATTGCTTAAGAATCATTATTGAGGGTGTTTTTGTTTTGTTTAATCTGTATTCTTTGCTCTTTAAGAGGAAAAACATTAAAACATTTGCATCATATTCAGGATATTTTCAAAGCTTATTATTTCAAACCAAGCTATATGATTTCGGGGTGCTTGGAATTATCAGCACTGGAGGAAAACTGTATCACCGTTGACATCCTTCCCAAATGTAAGGATCCCTGCCTTCACAGTTCACTGAATGTTTTTTTTTTATCCTACTTAAACTGCTCTCAAATTAGAAGGACTAAAAAGCAGAAGTACATTAATGATAATTTTGACAGTTTTCCTCAACCTCTTAATT